CGCCATTTGTAATTAACGAAGCAAAATCATATCCCACAAGTCAATGTGAAAGTAATTAAAAATGGCTAATTCACAAACGACAAAATAATATGTCTAAAAAAATAATGCAGAATGGACTAAGCAGGCGCAAACAACTGAGGTTAATTCATGTAGGATACTAAACATAATTGAGTAGAAATAACAATAAAAAGTTTAAAAATTGAATATAAATCACTCTATATACATTCATATTACATTGATATGCGCAGTTAGACCAATTTTCGTCTACTTTAAGGTTCTTAAGAATTAAGCTATATACTCTTTAAAGCTGTTGATCATCAATTGAAAGATCTTTAAACCAATATTGTGAAAGTTGGATCTTCAAAAGAAATATTAGTAAAAAAATTGTCCTTGCAAAGATAAAATGGTGACTTGTCTGTAGACGATAAACTAGTCAGTTTTTTGAATAGATTGAATCCAAGCCAGAAGATTATCTATCATTGGTATTGTTTTCTTCATTAGATGTAAATTAATCAACTTGGGTATAATATTTTAGCGTGGATCAAGCCGTGAAGAATTCGATATTGTCCGGAAAATGGAAATATCGATCAGAGAAATAGAATGAAATGGGCTTTAACGTCCTACTGTTCTGCATCGACTGGGCTCATTAGGACGTGATACGCCATACAGTGTGCCATGGTTTAATCATATTATTCATATTATTGATAAAAGTGTTAATCATATTTACCGAGGAAATTATACACTGATATAGTATAGATCGTTTATATATAAAATCATTGATACAAATATTAAAACAAATAATTTGATATACATGTACGTGTTGTCAGCATTTAGTTTATATACGCACAAAACTTTTAATCTTATATGTTAGATATTCGATATACGTGTAACACAATCTGATCATAAGTTTAGAAAAGTGCTGATTGTTGGTAAACTGTACGACCCAAGGATTGCGGCCGATGTTTCTGGTAGACAATCAATTGCCGATATTCTAGCGGAGTTGCTAAATATAATTTGCAACTGCACGCATGGATAGCGGAGTTGGTTCTTTTCAGTTTGTGATTTATGTCACTTTATTTAGCTTTGTTTGAACAGTTCAATATATGACCGAGCGCTGAAACAACATTGCCGATATGGAAAATCAGTGTGGTGTGCTTTGTACGACGCATTATACTGGCGTCGAAGACAAATAATCCTCAGCGAGAATCTACTCTCTCCACGCTCGGGAATAAAGGGGAATATTACAGTAAACTAATTTATTGCTGTTTTTCGACTCGTCTCTGGTTCGTCTGAAATGGACACGTCCATCGATTTACTTCGAAGTGCCATGTAATTGACCCTACTCCTTGACTTACTTGACTCAATGACAGATCTTATGATCTACAGCGCACACGCTAAACCCTTCGGTCACCCAACCCCTAACGTGTGCCGAGTGGACATTAAACACCATTTAACTTTCTCTCATCTCTACAGACTGACTAATAGGTTATCATTTGAAGCAGGGACTGGTTCCCAAGCGCTAGTCATCGTGTTGTTCTTGTTGTTCTGGAAGCGACGCTTTTGTTCTACGTTTGATATGAAGTTCAAGTTCAAGATGGCTGTGATGCCACACCCATTTCCTAGTCCATAGTAAGCCCATACTTGTTATTTATATGATAAAATGTTCAAGGGTGGGCTTTAAACACAATGTCACTTTTGGCGTTCTCAAAAGCATACCCCAACTTTCGCGGCTGCAGTTGTGTGTGAAGTGAGAAAGTGAGATTTCCCTTCGGAATTTGTCAAGCTCCGGCATCATTTCGCAGGGGTTGTACAAGCGGGGATGACCAGGAAAGGTTGATTATTTGTTAGGGTGCACATAAACAAACACATGGCAGTTGGAGACGTGAAGACGGGAAATTATCTTACGTCGCATTACACACGTCACCATAGAAACTAGCCATGTTAGTCTCAAAAGTCGTGTTTAACCAGACCCCATTTCATAGCATTATTTTATGTAGACGCTAAGATATACGTAGATGTACCCATTGCCGGATTAAGGCTTGACAGACTGAAGTATAGGACCTCAAATTCAACTGGCGTGGTTCCCCCTTGTCAGTGATGCAGGACGGAGGGCCTGACAAGGACAGCTGTCTAGTCGTTCGGATGGGACGAAAAACCGAGGTCCTGTGTATATATTGGAATGCACGTAAAAGATCCCCTAGCAGTTGGAATTCGATATAAGAGTAGGCGATAGTGCCGCCCGGGCAAAATTCCCCTCATAGTACACTGTATGGTGTGTGCCCGTCTTCATTAGCCCAGTATAGGAGCAGAACAGTAGGACGTTAAACCCTATTTCATTTCATTTCATTTTTCAAATTCAACTGGGCCGCTGGCCACAATTTATGACATTTTTTGCATTTTCATATGCCTTCCTTATATAGCCAAAGCCCAGTCATCATCCACCCAATTTTGTTTAAAACACACGCTAATCTTCCCCTTGTTCTGAAGGTTGGAAATTGTGTGGGGACCGCACAATTGGAATAGCCCCTCTTCATCTAAATCCGGTACTGGGCATGCCCATGTTAATACGCCCCTATCTCAGCGTTGTTCTGAAGTCATTTTATATTATTACCTAAACTCTGGATTTAAGGATCCCCTCGAGGGTTAAAAATCTCCATGCTTTAAACGTCGGTGATCGAAACGTCGTGCATTCGTCAAACCGATTCACCGTATTAGTCCAAGAAATGAAATGAAATGGGGTTTAACGTCCTCCTGTTGTAAAACTAAATGACGGAAATTTGTGGCCTACATTTTCCATATAAAACAGGATACGCGATAAATATATTTTTTTTTTGTAAAAATGTAATGATAGATGAAATGAATTGAAATGGGGTTTAACATATAACTGGGCTGCTCCGGCTGGGCTAATGAAGACGGCATACGCCATACTGTGTGCTATGAGGGAAATTTTGTCTGGACAACAGCAACACGGCCTACTTTCATTTCAAATTCCAACTGTTACGGGTTATATTTTTTTACGTGCACACCAATGTGTACAGGGGACCTCGGTTTTTCGTCTCATCCGAACTACTAAGTGCAAAAATAGCCTAACTATTCTGTTGAGTACATTACATTTCGTTAACCCTATTAAAGCTACGAATGAATATCTATAAATGGTACATATAGTAGAAGGTGATGATAACCTTATTTAGGAAACATGTTAAAATGTTAAAATCATGGATGCCTTGAAGCCAACACAAATAAATATTTATTACTTTTACCGATCAGATTTGTCATTAAAGGGTGTCTACCACTTAATTTTCTCCTCACAACGAGAGAGAGAAAGAGAGAGAGAGAGAGAGAGATAGGGGGAGAGAGAGAGAGCCCTCTAAATAGGAGGCCCCGAGTTCGATCCCGGTGTTGACTGAGAAAGTTCCCGGGAATTTTGCAGCGTTGTGGTAAGGAGGGTTTGGTCAGAAGCATTGTGTAGTCGTTCGGATTTGACGAAACACAGAGGTCCCGTGTACACGTTTGTGTGCCCGTAAAAGGACTATTGGCGGTTAGAAGTCGATGGGGAGCAGACGGAAAAGTCAATGTTCGGACAAGATTTCGTCAAAGCGCTCTGCATGGCGGTTACTCATTAATACCCCCATCAGACAGGGGTGGCGTGCTTACTGCGCTGCTAAGGCGACGGAAAATGGCCCCAGAGCGCGTCAAGGTCGCCTTAAACGTGGTAAAAGGTTCTGCGATCTGACCTGCGGCTTTTGTCAAGTTTTTAATTTTTTGGGACATTTTCTCGCGTTGATTTAACGTTTGCTGGCGACCTTGTGTATTTTCTGGTCGCCGTACGGTCGCGGCAGCGCAGTAAGGACGCCACCACGGTGTGACGGAGTATAAGTAAGAAGCTGGCTCGCCTTCGGTTTGCTCCCGCTGTTGGTGGTAAAATTTCCTCCAGATTTTTCGGCGTGGTGCCCCCTTCTTCAGTAGTAAGTGTCTGAAAAGCGTTTATTTGGATGGAACGGAAAACCCATGCCCCCTATAAACCTTGGTGTGCGCGTTAAAGAACCGTTGACACTTGGTATATGAAATAAGAGTAGGCTGCTAGCGATCTGGTCAAAATGTCCCGGTGTATGCAGATCTTCATTGGACCTGTTAGTGCAAAACGCAGGACGTTGAACCATATTACATTGATATTTGTGCCATGAACGAACGAATATTAAACATGCATTATACAAAAGCTAAATCTGCCTATTGCTGATCTATCTTTAAGCCTGAAATGTTATCTAAATTATTAATTAGACATTAATTAACTGATCCAAACTCTCGATGCCATCGTTAACCTAAGATATTTAGTGTATTTGAATACATTTTATGATGGATAATTTGACGTAAAAATGGATAATCGAGACTTTGTTTATTATCGTATCAACGTGAGTAATGACGATCGAGCTAGCCTAAAACTAAATAGCTAATATCTCGGTTCAGAGGGAAGCATATTCTGTTTTCATTATTTATTTTTTTAATAAAAATGGATAATCGAGACTTTGTTTAGTATCGTACCAACGTGAATAATGACGATCGAGGCAAGCCTAAAACTGAATCGCTAATATCTCGATTCAGAGTGAGGCAATTCGACTTAAATTTTCAGCATAGTCTGTTTTCATTATTTATTTTTTTAACTAGTATAGTGAGAACCGTCAGCTCTTTATCTAATCTTACCTGATGCCCCTTTATCACGTTTTAATAAATGTGTGACACCCTTTATATTTTAAAAGGATTTACGTTATCATAGAATAAATATGAAATGGATAATTTTTAATTAATTAATGTTTAACGAGGCTTAACGAGATGGGTGGATTTTACAAGGAAGATTTGTAGATGTAGGCCTGGAGCTTGTTAACATAGTTTTGACAGTTTGTATGAAGTGAGCTAACGAGAGGCGACTACAGACGAGAAGTGATACGACGCTAACAGATTCAAATACTGAACGGACTGTGTACTGTACTTGACGAAGTTTCGCCAAGTTAGGACATAATATTAGCGTTAGGATTTAACGAGATTATTCAACAAATTTTTCAACTAAAGTGTTTAGCTTTAAGCCGACAGGATGTGTCGCGGGAAGCATATTATATTCTTTGGCTTATTTTCATGTTTTTTGACATTTGGTAAGTGATTTTTATTAGTCATCTAATTTTAATCATTGTTTTGAAATGAAAGTGTGAAACATAGGACATGGTATCGAATACAGCGGAATTAAAATCGATGTCTATCTTCATACAATAGGTAAAAACGAGTTGTAGCGCCAGAGATTTGAAACTGGATTTAATGGCATCTTTGTATGACTGACAAAATTCTGCAAATGTTTTAATGCATTTATTGTGAACGGAGATGATATGAACCGGAATTTATTTCCCTTTTTGCAACAACCGGAATAATGAAGACGTGCATAGGCAATGCAGTGTAATATGTGATAAATTTTACCGGGACAGTGGTGGCAATATGGCTTACCCTTATTTCGATTTCAGACTGTCAATATGTACACGGAACCATAAAATCTTAGTTGTTCTGCAAAGTACTAGCTATTTTTCTGAAGATTCAGCATCTACAATACCGCTCAAAACTGTTACTTCATTAAAATGTCGTGCACTAAGCAGGGCGACGTCCTATACCTGACACGTTCTTGCTATATATTCGAAATGTATTCTCAATTAAAGGTTTTTTTGGGGTTTTTTTTTTATAAAAGTCGACCAGGAGAAAATGGAATCAAACTCATATAATAGAGCCGAAATAATACTTTATTATCCATAAAGCTTTCGAATGACTGTTCTTCAAGTACTTCAGTTATTGATTGCGGTGGTTTTGTTTTCTGATTCAAGGCACAAACCCTATTACTTAAAACTGAGACGTGGCTCAGCCGGGCTAGACGCTAGCTCGCTTGCCTGTAGGTCTCGGGTTCTCTCCAGATGTTGGCCTCGAAAGTTCCTCCTGATATTGCGGTGTAGTTTACCCTTGTCTGCGGTACATGGCAGAGGACCTGAGAAGGACAGTCGTCTAGTCGTTCGGATGGGACGAAAAACCAAGATCCCGTTGGCGTGCACGTAAAATAACCCTTGATAATTGGAATTCGATATAAGAGTAGACAGTAGTACCGCTATCCGAGCAACGTTACGCCCATACCACACGGTATGGCGTATGCCTGTCTTCCATAGCCCAGTTCGGAGCAAAACCGTAGGACGTTAAACCCCATTTCATTTCATTTCAATTCACAAGTTGGCATGCACATAAAATATCCCTCGGCGGCTGTAATTCAACGATGTGCAATTTGTACAGATGTTATATGTTATGCAATTGTTTGGGTACTGTGGGGTGTTTTTTTATGTACTTTTGTGTCATGGCAACTTTCTACTCCACAACGATCCACGTTTAACAAACTTTATTAACCGCTATTTCTACTCATTCAAATATCCATACATCACGTCTTGCTAGAGTACATCAAACAAAAGCTAGGGGCCATAATAAACTCAGTGTGAACATTTTTATAAACTAATTTGAGGAAATCGGCCCTTTTTTTTTTAAAAAAAGAAGAAAATCCAAATTCCTATGAGTATAAATGATATGATATTTCAGTGTTTGCAAACATTTCGCGTTTTGGTTGAATTTGTATTATCAGTGGTCTATTGCCTATGGCCTATACCACTTGGTGGGTGAGAGACAAAGACAGACAGAAATGGAGTTTAGCGTTCACTCGACGGAAACTAGGTCACTTCGGGACTAACATGTGGTTCAATTTTATTGCGCGTCAGGGCCTTTAGCTATGGGAGGAAACCGGAGGACCCGGAGAAAAAATCCAAGAAATTGGACAGGCGTCCCTACACCTTATCACGTACAAGTGGGGGGGGGGGGGCGAAACCACGCCACTTAACTCAATGACAGATCTTATGATCAACACGTTAAACCATAAGGCGACCTCACCCTACCTCTGTCTAAAATCGTGGGGTTTATTTTAGCTGGACCTAGTCCTGAATATACCACTTCAGACATACCTCACCATTGGAACAAAACATTCTGTATTGTAAATAATAATTTTAAAAGCCCTTTTACGTTTCTCAACAATGTAATACAAAATACTACTTTACCCAGTAAAATACTACATTACGCAGAAAATACTACAGTATGCCGTAAAGTACTTCAGTATGCCGTCAAATACTACACTATGCAGTAAAATTATTACACTATGCAGTAAAATACTACACTGCACAGTAAAATACTACACTATGCAGTAAAAATATTACACAATGCAGTAAAATACTACACTGCACAGTAAAATACTACTCTATGCAGTAAAATACTACGCTATGCAGTAAAATACTACAAAATGCAGTAAAATACTACACTATGCGGTAAAATACTACAATATACAATAAAATACTACACTATGCAGTAAAATACTACACTATTTAATAAAATACTACATTACGCAGTATAAACGTTTGGTTTGAAGGCCTAAAATACGCCAAATACGGCCCTTCATCAATGAAATAATGATTCTAAATTCATAACCACTAAAAAATAAACATTAAAAAAAAAACTCTCTTTCGCCGAGAAAAACATTCTAGAGTAATTGAAACTATTAAATGTTATTATTATCTATTTAATGGTGGTCTGAATCATACATCCGGGCAATAATTGACATAATATAATATACTGTTAAAATAGAGGTCAGTTTTAAATCTATAAAGGTCAATTGGCAGTCCGTTTCACGCATATTAATATCCAAATCATCAATAAATAGGTTAAGTTTGAATTTGTATTTTACATGTCGGTTAATGGAGAGAGGTAGAGAAATGAAATGAAATGGGGTTTAACGTCCTACTGTTCTGCTCCTATACTGGGCTAATGAAGACGGGCATACGCCATACAGTGTGCGATGAGGGAAATTTTGCCCGGGCAGTGGCACTATCGCCTACTCTAATATCGAATTCCAACTGTCAGGGGATCTTTTACGTGCATTCCAATATATACACGGGACCTCGGTTTTTCGTCTCATCCGAAGGACTAGACAGCTGTCCTTGCCAGGCCCTCCGTCCTGCATCACTGACAAGGGGGAACCACGCCGGAAGAGAGGTAGAGAATTTATCGTCAATTAAACCCATATGCGCAAGCGAATTGTTGAAATACAATATTGTACCATATGTTGGTCCAGAAATGACATAGTTATACCCCCCCCCCCCTCCCTCTCTCTTTCTCTCTCCCGTTTGATAGTTTGGACTCGTATTGCAGAGTGGTAGACCAGCGTGATACAGTTACACAAAACCGGTGGACCGACGTTTCATGTTTCATGCTACCCATTGTTCGTGCCATCGACGTGTCGTGCCACCGATGTTTCGGTTATCGATGTTTCGGCCATATATGGTTTCGGACACAGAGATTTTAAAAAAAGTTACGAAATGGTGCCAAGTGCACGTGCTAACTGGTTAGGGTTACAAACGTCATTGGTGGAAACAGGCGCATACAGATAACCAGAAACACATCTAGTAACGACTGCCATATCGATGTGCGCCGATTGCACTTTACATTTTAGGTCAGTAATTTGCCAACCATTGTATCATGAGCGCGTGGTGACAGATTTTCTTTATTTAAACTTCTTAACGACAGGGTTTTTATCTGGTAGTTCTAGCGTGTTCCAGAACGTGAGTCGACACCTGCTTGGTAATACTAGACGGTCAGTTCACACCTCACGTCAAAATACCTTCTACAAGATATCAGTTCGGTGATGTGTTTCACAACATTCACTTCTACCCAGAGCACGACTAACTTGACAACACATCATCAGTGACATTTTTTTGAATGAAATGAAATGGGGTTTAACGTCCTGCTGTTCTAGATCGACGGGGCTAATGAAGATGGGCATACGCCATACACTGTGCTATGAGGGGAATTCTGCCCGGGCAGCGGCACTATGGCATACACTTATTTCGAATCCAAATTGCCAAAATTGTTCATTGTTCATCCCATCTGAAAAACTATACGTTGTCCCGTGCTAGGTCCTCCGTTCTGCACCACTGACAGGTGTGGGGAGGGGGGGGGGTACGCCGGAAAATCCACATCGAACACGGGACCCAGGCCCGTATCCAGGATTTTGTCGGAGGGGGGGGGGGGCATACATTGGAGCAAAGGGTAATCATCAGAGTGCCGCATGCATTAGTGGTTTGGTGTAGTCCCCAGAATCTTCGTCGCGGCCTCATTAAGCAGAAACTAAAATCTGGGATTCCCATTGATGGCTGCAGGTGCTGATCTGAACAGTGATGACCAGTCTCACTGGGGCTGATTGGGGCCACGCCCCTCCCCCCCCCACCCTGGATCCGCGCCTGGGACCTCCAGGTTAGCGAGCCAACTGAGCCACAGCGGACCTCCATTTTGATAAATTGTTATCGTCTTTAGACGATAAGTTTTTCTGATTCATCTGTAGTGAAGATTTTAGAACGTAATTAAATCTATAACCATCCCTGTCGGTTCATTGTCATTTATTTAGTAATTGAACTGGAGATTACTGTTAATTACTGAGCGACGTTTCTATAAGGACTTTCTAGTCTTTTTCAAGCAATGGTACTGTGTATTACTGAACGACGTTTCAACAAGGCTTATCTAGTATGTATCAAGCAATGGTACTGTTTATGACTAAATGACGTTTCAACAAGGATTATCTAGTCTGTATCAAGCAATGGTATTGTTTATGACTAAATGACGTTATAACAAGGATTATCCAGTCTGTATCGAGGAAATAATAAAGTTAATCTAGTATTACTAGTATCAACAGTAATTATATTCCAAAGAATTGTGTGTATATTTATGATTTTGGGATTACTGTATTAGCAAATATTTTTTTTGCATTGTAGTATTTAAATCATTGGATTGGTGAATCTATAACCTTCTAGCATCCGGGTTACACTAAACCCTCAGTACAGGTATATGCGTCATGTGCGTGCCAGGGGTATGCTTAATCTATATGGAACACCCGATGGCTCATTTTGTTTGAGAATTTCACGTAACGGAAATAAAGTTTATTGTATTTTGGACTATATGAAGACTGTCTTGTCTTGCAATTATTCCGCAATATTCCTGTAATATATAGTTAAATGTAATAGGCGGCCTTAAACGTAAAATGCCAGGTATAAATGTCTTTAATAAACCGCGATGTGTCCTGTCCTCGACAGGTTCCCATAGTATGTAGGCTATATCGTATTCGGCACCAGGTTTGTGCATATCTGAATGATATGAAACAGAGTTAAACGACCTGCTTTGCTGGATCAACCGGGTTAAGCAAGACGGGATGCACATTTGATGTAGATGTGTATAACTATGATATACCAAGAACTGTCGCTGTCCATGTATATGCAGATATACCGGAAAATCAGGCATGTTTAACATGGTCAATACGTTTGATGTAATATTTATACAGACTTTGGTTGATGACGTTTTACACAACATGGTGGTGATATGATTAATCTGTGTATAAGTTGTATCACAAAATCCATAACATTCTGGACCCAACCAGCCAGAACGTTCACCTACGGCTGAAATTTAAATTAGCTAAACAATTATGTTATTATATATTTAGACACGCCCTCGTTACAAATTAAAACTTAATGAAGTATTTGATGGTATCTGTGAAACTGAGATACGAATTATTATTATGTTAGTTGTCTAAGACAAATAAAGATGGCATTTATCTATTTTTGGAATGAAATGGAATGGGGTTTAAAGTCCTACCGTCCTGCTCCGACTTATCTAATGAAGACGGATCTATAGAGTAGCAAGAACGACCAGCTCTTTCTCTAAACCGTACATAATGCATCTTTTATTTAGAATTGGTCCATTTTAATAATGTTTGGCTCATAAGTTTAATGAAAGTATTTTTGTCTGATTGTATATAATTGGATGTTGGACCATTTTAAGGCATCTTGCATCCATAAATATTGAACACCTAGTATCACTTATCACTATCAACAGCTGTGAGAAGGATGTTTTCTTGTGCTGGTTGGCACATCTAACTGATTGTTCGGTATGCTTGTGAGATCTTTATCGATGGGGTAATATTTTATAAGTTGTATATCAGAATTTGAGTATAATAGAGTATAAAATGGTATATCAAAATCTGACATTATAGTTGGTATGACATGGTGTATAGGAATGTGACATTATTAGTTGATATAACGTGGTATATAGGAATGTGACATTATAGTTGATATGACTTGGCACATTATGACTTGGCATATAGGCATGTAAAATTATAGTTGGAGTGATTTGGCATGTAGGAATGTGACATTCAAGTCGGTATGCCGTGGTATATAGGAATGTGACATTATAGTTGGTATGGTTTGATATGGTATGTAGGAATGTGGTATTATAGTTCTTATGACGTGGTTAATAAATGTGGCATTATAGTTGGTATGACGTGGTTAATAAATGTGGCATTATAGTTGGTGTGGTCTAAGGTGGTATATAGGAACGTGGCATTATAGTTGGTATAACGTGGTATATAGGAATGCAACATTATAGTTGGCATAATGTGGTATATAGGAATGTGACAATATAGTTGGTATAACGTGGTGTATGGGAATGAGACATTTTAAATAGTATGGTATAACGTGGTAACCTATAAACGTGTGTGATGTTATGTAGTTAACGTGTGATTGATCGTCTTGGATAATTAAACTTTAGTTTTTAATATCTAGCTAGCGGCACACCTGGTTATTTAATCGACATTTTACCTGTATTTTCCTCTTATTTACCTGTTCAATATACCTGTATTGATACAAACCTTCTACACACCTCATCGTTTAAACAGCCGTTAATACAGAAAGTAATCCGGGATTTGATTGAAACGATAATGTACAGTAACCGGGTGTCGAGACAAAACAAATTATCTTTCAATTCTTTCTGTTAATTCACGTGTTAGTGTTTTCTGTATTTAGATAGTAGCAACGTGTCGCCAGAAAATAAGTCCTTAGGATTCATTCCGTATAGTATCTGTGTTGGGTTATTTTCTTAAATGTATTAAGAAATAGACTAAGTCTCGAATTTTAGTTTACATCATGGGCTTGTGATGTTATATTTGACATTAAAAAAAATACACGTAATACATTTTCTGTATATAAAATAGACTTTAAAATGTTTTAAACTATTAAAATGCACGTTTTCCAAACTTGAAAGCATGAAATGTACATGAACTTGTAATTAGTCAACTCGGTAAATTAAAAAGTTTTAAACCATCATGTTTACCAAACTTGAAAGTATGAAACGTACATGAACTTGTTATTAGTCAACTCGGTAAATTATCATAACGAGTTCCCAAATTTCTTACCAAAACAACCCATAAAAGCTAATTACAAGTTACAAGTTGAAGGCTATCAAAACAAAATATATGTATACCCCAATGGTAAACCGAAACTTAATGGTACAAACTAATTGAAATGTTTATACACGAGTTAGAAACCAAAACATAATGGTACAAACTAGTTGGGATTATATTTAAACCCTAGTTAGACGCAAAGACGTAAAGGTGCAAACTAATTGAGATTATGTTTAAACCCTAGTTAGACACAAAGGAGTAATGGTACAAACTAATTGAAATTATGTTTAAACCCTAGTTATACACAAAGGAGTAATGGTACAAACTAATTAAAATTATGTTTAAACCCTATAGTTAGAAACGAAGACGCAATGGTACAAACTAGTTGAAATTATAGCACAAACTAATTGAGATTAGACACAAGTACGTAATGAGCAATTGGCATATCGCATCGTTCCTATTGGCTGGTTTGCATAACATGAAGAACTAATTTCTTCTACATTAGACGGTCCAAGGTTACGTTATGAGGATGACGGACCAAGGTTACGTAATGAGTATGCCGGATCAAGATTACGTAATGAGTATGATACTGGCTCATGAACCAAGAAGTCCGGGATACGGTCACTGTGCATACGTTGAAAGTTCCTCGAGATTTCAGTCTTGTTTCCCCATGTCAGTAGACAAGAAGAGGGAAAATGTAAAACAGACGTCTACTTGTTCGATTGTGACGAAAAACATGAACTTAGTTTAGACCAAACACGTTAAAGATCAACTGACAATTAGAAATGGAAGTTAGAGTAAGCCGTACGCCGCTGCCAGGTCAACAGTTCCATCATAGCCTTTCTTCATTAACCTGGGGGTTGGGTGGCCGGATGGTTTAACAGTATGCGTTAGATCACAGGGTCTGTCATTGAGTCCAGTGGTGTGGTTTCGATTGACTCGTTTGTACGTGACAAGGAATAGGTCCGCCTGTCAAGCCTCGTGGTTTATCTCCGGATCTTCCGGTTTTCTCACACAGCTAAAGACCCCTACGCGCAAGCGAATTATTGAAATAAAATTGAACCGTGCGTTTGACGTTAAACCCATCTCTAGTTTCTGTCGTGTGGACGAATCTCTCTCTCTCTCTCTCTCTCTCTCTCTCTCTCCAGTTTACCAGGTTAGTTCAGAAAAATAAAATTCTATACCCACATTTTATTTCTTTATTTCAGTTTCACCAACAAGTGTATATGTTCCAAAAGAGATTATTGCTGAACTGGGTAAATCGGTTTCGTTTGGAATATTATTCGTTCCTTTCAATGACCAGGACGAAGTGTTCATCTCCATTTTTAAAAGCAACGGCCTCAAGTCATCGTTGCTGTCCCTTCATCAAAACTTTACCGGAGAATCCGAGTTGAAGCTGTCAAGTTATTGGACGAACCGTGTGAAAGTTGGCGTTATAGCAGAGCAGGGATTGCAATTCAACCTATCTGACGTCACTATAGCAGATGAAGGAAGATATGGAGTAAACGTTCTCGTTAATAACGTCACCATGGAATTTCAGACGCACATTGAAACAATTGGTAAGATTCACTATGAAATAATAATGAATTTGATTACTTAGGTCATTTTTGGTCCATTTTAAAGGTGTATTATGTATGATTTGTACCGTAAGCTGACAGTTATCGTTATAATAGTTTAAAAATATGTAATGAAAAGGGTATATATATATTGAAAATTTCGGCCAAATTACTATATTCTGAGTGAAGGGGCATTATTTAAGATTTAGATACAGCGCTGACAGTTCTCGTTATAATAGTTAATAAAACAGATAATGAAAACAGAATATGCTGAAAATTTCAGTCAAATTGCTTCATCCTGACTTAGTTTTAGGCTAGCCTCGGTCGTCATTACTACGATAATAAACAAAGTCTCAATTATCCATTTTAACGTTAAATCATCCATCAAAATACGTATTCAAATCCACTAACTATCGTAAGCTAACGATGGCACAGAGAGTTGATTATGGTATTGATAAGTTAACTAATGTCTAATAAATAATTTAGATAACAGTTAAGGCCTAAAGAAAGACCTGCAATAGGCAGATTTAGCTGCTGTATAATGCATCGTTAAGATCGCCGTTATTGTCAACCGATTTACAGGTTTTCTGCCAGGTTTTGGTAAATATTCATGATTTTGAGGCGGAAGGATAAGAGGGTTATGAGGTTAGTTACGGCGATATGTACGGCAACTAGTTACATGTTTTTAGTATGCTTCTTCAAGTTTGTGTATCTCAAAATTTTGGTGGTCAACCTCATACAAATTTTGGTGCAAAGACATGACCATTTGTTCCTCTGTCTGTAGTGAAAAGCATTCAGCCCAACGAAAATTTGGGGAAAAGTTGGAGGTGGGCAAAGAGTCCAGAATTAACATTGAAGTCAATGGGGAAATTAATGGTGGTCTGCCTCCATAATATGTTATTATCTCCCTTGAATAGTCATTTGCATGTTTTAACAAATAAAAACATCCGACGATTTCTAAAAGTTGTGGATCCTTTTTTTTCAAATTGGAAAACCGAATATAAATACAATCTTGGTTATTTTTCAGCTCTTCCGGCATTTTCTGTTATATCTGTAAAAGAACCTGCAGTTGGCGACTTTAAAGAAGGTGACGTAGCGAATATAACATGTTCTGGTGCAGCAGGAAGACCCCTGGGAACCGTATATATAGTTAAACGTAGTCACTCGCCTGTGTTTGTGAAGGTTGATACGGAGTTGTTGACGAGGAATTATAGCCAGTTATATAACGGATCGTATATTATAGACTATACTTTTAGTCACGTGATGGATAGAAGTGATAATGATACAGAATATGGTTGCGAGATACTTCCGGGTAGTCCATCTTTTAGTTCTCATCTCTTTTCATTGAGCAACCTGGTGCCAATCACAGTTGATTGTAAGTATTGCTTAGTACTTATAAAATGACCACTTTTTTAATGCAACCTTGTATACATACCAATCTAACCCCCCAATACAACCACCTGTTTAATACGACCGGGTACGCACACCAATCAAACCCGGCCAATAAACAACCTGTTTAATACGACCTTATACTTACTAACCAAACCCGCTCAGTTCGACAACCTGTTTAATACGACCTTGTACTCACCAATCAAACCCGGTCAATACGACAACCTAACCAAACCCGCTCAGTTCGACAACCTGTTTAATACGACCTTGTACTCACCAATCAAACCCGGTCGATACGACAACCTATTTAATTTGACCTTGTACACACACTAATCAAATTTGATTCCCAGATATTCCCAGATATTATTGTACTATGATTTTATCAACCCTAGGTGATTTAGAAGTTGATTATCATTTTTGTTACCAATGATCCATTGGACTGGAAATCACATCATACAACTAATTAGAGACATCTGATAAATTGTACTTATTAAAAAACATGGGAAATGCACGATCAATGCGTGAAAAAATTACTTGTCTGGGTCCTAGCATAGCCCTTATATTATTCCGTGGTCCTAGTAACTCAATGAGCACTGCAATTACGACGGAAATAGTCACAACGATCAGTCAACTGACATTGCCTGATTTTCATACATTAGAGAGCAATATTTACAGCTTCTTTTGCCATCCATAACTTTAAATATACCATTTCGTCCCTTTTGGACATAGACCATTTCGTCGCGTGTGGATATAAATCATTTCACCCCTCTGGATAGAGATCATTTCACCCCATTGGATAGAGATCATTTCAACCCATTGGTTAGAGATTATTTCACTTCATTGGATAAAGATCATTTAACCCCATTGGATAGAAATTATTTCATCACATTGGATAGAGATCATTTCACCAAATTGGATAGAGATCATTTCGTTCCTTTGGATAGAGATCATTTCACCCCATTGGATAGATATCATTTCACGCCTTTGGATAGAGATCATTACACTCCATTGGATATATCGCCTTTAGATAGAGATCATTTACTCTCTATTTTAGAGGCCTTCTGGTCCCTTTGGATGTGGAGATCATTTCGTCACTTTAAGTGACTGTGTAATTAGTTTATGTTCTTGGGCCTAATTCAGGTAAACGTTGACTAAAATATCTTTAAGAAGGAAGCCTTTTTATGATTGATAGTTATATTATTAGGACAAATGTTAGCTCTTGGTTAATGAAAGAGCAGAATTATTAAAATATTTTAGTTTATGCTTTTGTAAATGCGGCCCCAATTTTTAACCTATTGAAATGAAATTAAATGAAATGGAGTTTAACGTCTTACTGTTCTACTCCGAACTGGGCTAATGAAGACGGGCATACGCCATACAGTGTGCTATGAAGAACATTTTGCTTGGACAGCGGCACTACGGCTTACTCTTATATCGAATTCCAACTGTCAAGGGTTCTTTTACGTGCACGCCAATGTGTACACGGGACTTCGATTTTCGTCCCATCCGAACGACAACACTGCTGCACGTGTCAGGCCCTCCGTCCTGCATTACTAACAAGGGGGAACCACGCCGGAAAATCTGGATGAACTTTCTCGGCCAATGCAGGGATTGAACACCCGACCTCCGGGCTAGCGAGCTAGCGTCTTACCCACTTATCCACCATGACACCCGTTTAACCTACTGAATTGTGTATATTATTATGTGCTCTACGAGAATCATGTTTATCGTGCTATCAACCTATGGTTCAGAAAACAATTCTTAGACGAAACCAAATGACAGTAAGACGGATGTTACGTAATAAATCTATTTTAACTTATATAATATACAATTCTAAAACACATTAATTATATCTAACCTAATATAATATACAATTTTAAAATATAATAAATATATCTAAGGTAATATAATATCCAATTCTGAAATATAATATACAATTTTAAAATATAATATACAATACCGAAAAATAATAATATACAATTCTAAAATATAATATACAATCCTAAAATACAGTATATGCAATTCTAAAATATAATATACAATTCTAAAATATAATAAATATATCTAAGCTAAACATTAACTGTATCTGATTTTATCCAATCTGTCAACTCAAGACAGAGTAAAGTGGTTTGAAAACCGTAATCCTTAACAAATAAATACTATTAACATAATGTTAGTGGTTTGAGTCCAGGTTGTGTTGTTTTACACCAATGTCTGTTCAGTGTTATTGACTTTTGTTAGGGGGAGATAAATCGTTTGGGCTTCGTTACACTCGCCCAATCACCTGTAATCGGGAGGTCACGAGAGGAATTTTAACCAACATTCGCCACATTTCAATTCTTGAGGTCAAATGTCAAGGTGGTTTATTTACATATCCGACCTTCTCAGTCGCTCAGTGAAAATAACAACCACAGTTAACTGCGTATCTGAATGAAGTAACCACAGTTTAAACTGTAAAACGGCGTAGGCCTATATAAATGTTGTAACTCCGATAGTTACAGCTGTTGACATCTACTTTTATGTTACAATTGACTTTCTATTGTGATGTTTGTCAAGCACAAGACATTGTAGGCACTTCTTATTTACTGTCATTCCGCCTATTTGTCACCGAATTGCAACCTTTAAGGGGTCTTTTAAGACTCGTCAGCCCTGCAGGTGCTACGTCTGCCAAGAGGGAACCTGGATAAATGAATACCGCGATTCTTCTCAGCCTACGTCAGGATTCAAACCCTGTATATTCTAGTCGAACATTTGTATATGAGTGGTGGGGTGTGGACCGAGCGTTGATTATTGAGTTGTACGTTTAAATACCCCTAATCCATAGTTGTAATTATTGTTTGTTTGCTTGTTTGTTTGTTTGTTTTTTGTTTTGTTTTTTTGTTTGTTTTTTTTTCTTTTCTTTTTTGTCAATTTCGTCGTTATATTACAAAAATTATAACAGAAGTTTTCAAATAAACGAAAAATGTTATCTGGAGATCTAGAAAGAGTAACCATGTAAAGATGATATCTAGATTAGCTGTATAACATATATGAAAGGAAGTAAGCCATGTAGAGTGTCACTACGTTTTTATCTAAGATATATTGTACTCATATAGATTGAGGGGCGAGATATGGTCGGGTAGCAAGAATTATAATTCTCGGATAAATCTTGAGTCAGTTATTGTTTGTGTTTAAGGCTGTCGTATATTAATCATTAACCCTGAATAATTATATTGTCGATATAGAGGTATCTAGTGGTCACAGGATATAGTCGTAATATAATTGTTTCATAACACCTGGTAACACTCCTTTTTTTGAGCAATTCACATATTTAACCTTTGCTGTGTTATGTTTGTATAGATATAGTTGTAATAGCAACGTATATACACAGGCAATTTAATTATACTTTACAATACTCTTACTTTTAATATACTCTTAAAAAAAGTAGGGGATATTCAGAAACAATACAAAACTGCGGAAATGCACTGCTGTTTTTATTAGACAATGAACCCCTCCCACGTGTATGGCGCTATTGCGTGTCGCACCTGCAGCTCAGTGGTTCTGTGAAAACGATAAGTTTTTCATCTGTGAACGTACTCTCAAAGCATGTCAAGTGTCCATGACTATTTATCATATCACAACCTGCATAGGTATTTGCATTTCAATATCCCCTACCTTTTTTGAAGAGTATATGTACTCGATTCTAAAAATACTTATATTACATCATCATCATGTTACATGTAACAAATATACAGAACATCATACGACAAGAAAAAGATACACATAGTCTTTATTTGTAAGCGTATTAAATATAAGGGACCCGGAAACCTATCCTTGCGGAACACCCGTGTGTTAGTAATGTTTAGGAATGGTCACTGATGGATTGATCTGTCAGAACAAAGGTCCAATGCATTGGTTCGAATCCTGACAAGGGTCCAGCACGGGGGTCGTTCACGAGATCTGGCCCCGAGTTCACAAAGCATTCTCAGAATGATTGTGAACTCGGGGCAGGATGTCTTTACTGAGGCGACCGTAAGTCGCGACCCGTCGCAATTTGCGTAGGTGACAAACTTGTATTCACTTTCATATTTACACTTAGCGTCGGCATTTAATGTGTAATAAATTATTGTTTTGTGGTTCCGTGATGGGTGTCGCGAATGGGGCATCGTATTCTCACTCTTCAACTCGTTCCTTTGGATATAGATCATTTCACCTCATTGGATAGATATCATTTCACTCCATTGGATAGAGATGATTCATCCTACTTGATGGAGATCATTTCACCCGTCTGGATAGAGATCGTTTCACCCCACGGGCTATTGATATACTGCACAGATTTAGTCATTTCGATACTTTTTTTATTATTTTTATTATATATCCCCAGTTAGGAAGTCTAAAGACTAGTGTCTCTATTTTTCCTTTCATTTTATGAACTTTTCGATTTGATTTCCTCTAAGGATTTCTATTCTATCCGTGTCTTTCAGTCTCCTGCCGAACCTCGTGGGTTTTCTCCTGGTTTCACGTGGTCCTCCCACTGCCAAAGACCCCTACGTTCACGCGAATTATTCAAATAAAATGTTGTCATATATTAAGCCCTTAGTGAGCTAGTTAGTTTTGAGTTTGTAGTTAAGATATGTGATTCATGCTTTCAACCATTGTGGTACGTGTAGTATTTATTTACCTTACCGCATGTGACATATCTATAGAGTATCCTAGAGATAGTCAGGCTATTTATATATACCGACATGTAAACTGACCTTTTATATATATTTGAAATAACATTCATATAAACAGAGTTACTATATACACATATGACATACCTATATAGTGATAATACCTATATCCTAGAAGATATTTAAAATAGCATTCATATAATAGAGTTACTATATATACATATGTATGATGTGTATTCTATGCAATATGTTCATGTTACGATCAGATAAATCATATCTACATAAATCTATTGTGAAATATCTTAATCTTCAAAGATTGCCCAATCAAGATCTA